ACTTATCGACTTCGGCCGAATAGACTTCGGCAAATTTTTTTAGGGTGTCCCAGAATTTATGAAAACAGCTGTAATTGAATTTATTTCCGGCACCTTTCGCGTGCCGGCATTCTTCTGCTTTTTGAAATAAAAATATACTGTAGCTTATTTATTACTATATATACAGTACTGTATATAAAAATTTTGTTAACAAAATTTTTTGTATTATAGAATATCTTTAATATTGTATTAGAAAAATTTTTTAAAATAAATATAAAATTAATCAATTCTTTTATTTGTTATTAAAAACAAGACACCAAAATTTTATAATCTATTTTTAAAACATTAAGTTGGTCACAAAATACTTATCGATCGTTATTACACAAAGCAAATAATACGTATCGCATTTCAAAGCTACACATGACGTTTTTTGTGCAACTCACATTTTAATAATTTTATTCAAATAGGATATTGAAAGATGCAATATTTGGCAGAATTTAATTATGCCGATAATTTAATTCAGAATTTGATAAATATATATAGATATAAAAATAAATTAAAATATGTATTGAAATAATTTAGCAATTCATTTATCAACTCTTTCTTAAATTGCGCTTAATTATAATTTGTTATCTATAACTAGCTGTGCTGTTGAACGTAACTTTTATACAATACCTTTTTAGATAGTAATCGTCAAATTTTGTCCGAAGAATCACATAAACAATTATCTTTTGATGCTTTATTTTATTATTACTATATAAAAACATATAAGTGCAACAGTTGCAATACAAAATTCCCCGAATACAATTAGATCCCTGTATCTCAACAAAATTTTTTATTATCTCGCCACAATCATGTGACTATAAATTTAGATTGAGAGCCATACTGGTTTAGTTAATAATATTATTTGAATTTACTCATGATACAAATTAAGAAACACAAATATTTGGACAAGCCCCAAAATTTATTTTAAACTTTCTATTTAATCACATTAAAATATTCAAAGAGGTTAATAGAATTTAGCCATTTAAAGTTGTAAATATTTTTAATTTCTTATGATGGTAAAGTAGGCAATTATAAATCATGTAACGCTATTAATTTACTAAAAATTGGACATAGATCTTCACGCGTGCAGTAATACGTAGTTATTAATATCAAATATATCAAGTAGTAATAATTTTTTGCATCGCTGTTTTTGATAATTATTTGCTTCATAACTTGGATTACTACGTAATAGTCTTGAATTATATAATAATTGACGATCTACAAGTAGACACAAAGAACATGCCAACCACCAAAAATAATGTTGAACAGCCCTTTTAAACGCGTAACAGATAACATAAAAAGAACATAATGCTTTGACATATCATTTTTTAATGTGTATAATTTTTAAAGTCTCTTTAAACTTCGTTTTTTGTCTACTTGCTTCTTATCTAGTTTTTTATCACCAGCACGCTTCTTTGGTGTAACAGAGGGGCTCGAATTTTCAGGAGGCGCAGATGCTGAATTTTTTTTTAATCCACTAGCGGATTCTGATTCATTATTGGACTTTGACACTGCGAGTGGTGTAACCATTGAAGTGTATGCTGAAGCAGGAGTGATTGTGTTTATAATAACAGGACTCTTTACTTGAGAAGTAATAATTTTTTGTGATGTTGAAGGTGTTGACACAGAGGGCGTGGAAGATGTAGATGTAGATGTAGGAGTAATAGAAATGCTATTGTTTGAGGAAAATACAGTTGGCTTATATTGCGCGTGTATACCTGTCATCATTTGGGCACGCTTTGCATAATCTTCATAGCTATCCAGAAGCAGTTTACCCGCATCATCGTTAAGTGCGGACTCGGGATTCGGAACAATCAGCAAACATTTAATAGTCTGAAAAAGGTCAGATGCTAATAAATACGAAGGATAATTATAAAACATGAACTTCAAAAACATATTCTTACCAGTAAAATATGTTCAATGCCATAATCTTTATTCCAATCTCTCTTCAATGTATCCACACAAACTTCACCAATTTTTGATACATTTGGATGAAATATTTTAGTAATAAAGTTACCTTTACGTAAAAAATCATGATTCATCATAATTGGCGTTAATACGATCAGTTTTGAAATCGGCATTATAAATGAAGGAAAATTTAATATTTCATACATTTTGGAGGCACCGTAGGGAAGTCTGTACCGAATACCACTTTTACTTTGAAGAATCCACCTTCATATGGAGTACTCTCTAAAAATATTATAAATAATAAATAAAGTTATACTTTTAGATAGTATCAAAACGATAAATTAACACTCACCTGGCCCTGATATCCAGGCGTGAACATCACAGATATTGAGTTCGTTCATAACAACTCGGATTCCTTCTGGGGGGTGTGCTCTAAGGGCATCCAACTCCTTCGTGATTCTCTTTATTACAGAGGGAGAGATGTTTTCAGTGGCTGACTGTATTAAATTCTATAGTTACAGTTTAAAAAGTTTCATAATAAAAAACATGGCAAAAAAATGAAAAGAAAAGGCCATTACCATTGCTCGGTGCGATTTACTTATTTTGAAGATAGATTCACACGATAGATAGTAAGAAAAATCGAGCTTATCGTTATGGTTTACTCATTATCAGTCAGGTTCACGGTGAATATCATAATTTATCGTATCACGTGTATTTATTTTTTTTTAGGGATGCGAACAGTGTTTATTTTTCACGTACCTGCATCTGTGTGATCCAATTAAATTACTTGATTTTTAAAATAAAGCAATTTTATTGGATCTGCGGATGCGGGCTATTGGTATAATACAGTACCAGTATAATTCCAGTAATACCAGTATAATTCCAGTATTATAACTAATAATACCAATAATAGAAATGGGTTAGCCAATTAAATTGCTTTATCTGCAATTCCGAAAGTTTCCCTTAGAATAACTCCGAACCATATTAAGCTGACCATATTAATTCTTGGTATCATACTACCATTTTCTATTATACCGGTATAACCGCAGGAGACAAAGAGTAACAATTTTGGCCGTGCAGTTAGAAAATTTTAAAGTTCGATTAATACGTATTAATTGTTAAGTACACTTATAAGCTAAACTTTTTATTTTTGGTTTAGTGAGAGTTGACTGTAACAAAATTGCTTAAAAAAATTGGTTTGTTAGTGTATAAAAGACAAATCTTTTTTTTTAATATACGTATGTTTAGCATGTACTTTATTTAATTATTTTACAATATAATTTATATATACTGTATTTATAAATATTTGAAAGAATAAATCTCATTATATTTACCACTTAAATTATTTTTACTATATGCTCTATATATGCTTAGAGTATACTGTATAAAATACTGTATATACAAAAAATATTCTGCATAAAACTTGTCAGTATGAAACCAAATTATTTTTTATACATATAAAAAAAAACCTGCATTTAAAAAACATGCACTTAGAAAAACAACTATACTTGAAAATTTTGTATATTTAAAAATATATAGTATCACAAATAAGCTACATAATCTATATATAACTACTTAACTAATAAAACTAGCTAGTAAAAAAACTTAATAAATAAATAATAAAATATTTTTTTATTTATTTAAAATCCAGTTTTTTATATGCTAACATTATATTTAATAATCTTTTTAGCAAAAATTTCCAACAGAATTATGAATATTAAAAATTTAAATGTCTAGATGTTTCAATTTTCTTTTAACCGCTTGAAACCTTTTCGTTTCAATGATTTATTTAACGATGCTATTTAAAATCATAAATAATTATAAGCTTTTCAAGTAAGCATTAGGAAATTGCAAATTAAAAGTGACATACCTTGAATGTATTTCTGATCTTCTTCATCATTAAAATGTACATCATTCTGACTAGAATTATCTTCAAAATTATCGTTATTTTCGATAACATCATCTTTATTCGTACGAGCATAATTATTTGAGAACTTTTTGAACTTCGACACAAAGAATCCATCCATGTTATGTACATGAGGATAGTATCTCCTCGTTAATTTTAATGAAGGGTGAAATATTTTTCCACGATACCTAGTAAGTTTTAATTATTCCAATGTTTCATACTATTCGTGGTAAAAAAGAAAAAAAAAAAGAATTTTATTAAATACTTTGTAAATCCTTCTTGTCCAAAATCTAGATCAGTTTGTACTAATTTTACGTTAGGTCGTTTTTTAAGCGCATAATTTACTACTTCTTCGTTTTCGTCAACAGTTATAGAACATGTGGAGTAAACAATATAACCACCCGTAGATGATTTTGCATCAACTGAATCAATCGCTGACAAAATAAGCTCTTTTTGTAAATGGGATAGCAACATAAAATCCTTAGAAGTCTAGAGGTAGAAAATATTTAGTAAAACAATGAATAAAATATATTTAATCGCAAAGTTGGTTCTTACTTTATTTATTTTTACAGAAGGATCCTTAGAAATAACACCAGTACCACTACAAGGGGCATCCAAAAGAACCCGATCGAACCCTCCCATGACAGTAGGAAACTCACGACCATCATAATTACATACTACAGCGTTCTTAACACCTAACCGGTGTATATTTGACACAAGACTTTTTATTCTCTCTTTATTGGCATCATTTGCAAATATCAATCCAGTGTTTTTCATTAGTGCAGCCATATACGTGGTTTTTCCACCAGGTGCAGCTGCCATATCGAGAACCTTCTCATTTTCTTGAGGAGCTAAAGCCATAACAGGTAAAAATGAGGAAGCAGACTGTAACATATAATGCCCAGCGAGATATTCAGGTGTAGCGCCTAACAAATATATTTAAGCATTCAATTGAATTTTTTAAGCTCTAATCTATGAAATAACATACCAATTGGTACTGAAGAATCATATACAGTTAATCCAACTTTTGACCACTTTCCAATAGGTTCTAGAGTAGTACCTTTATTAATTAGGGACTATAAAAAAAAATTATCAAATTAATCAACCCTAATTTTTTATACAAGAAAAATTATTAAGCCATACTTGAGCTAAATCTCGACGACGAGTACGTAATGTATTCGTTCGTATAGTGACTGGCCTAGAAATCTCATTTGCTTCGAAAAACTCTACAGCCTTAAAGCATAAAAAAATAAATAAATATCATACTGTTAAATAATATAATAATAATTTGAAAAAAAAAAAAATTGAACTAGCAAAATTTATAGGCAACCTCTGAAACTGAAAATAAATCAAATAATTTTTCTAAAAGGAACTCTGAATAACCATAATAAATCGCCATATCTTTTATTAATTGCTCCACATAGGAAGAACGCCCCCTGAATTGAACAGAATTTTTAAGCAGAATCCGTATATTAAAAATAATATTGAGAATGCGTTTCTAACCGTTCTTTATCGCCCGATTTATTAAAATTATTAAGGATCTCAACTGTTTCTTGGATGCGTTGCTGAACAGTTTGTAAATCTTGCGTGCTCATACTGTTATCCTTCAAGAGATAAGTTCGCGTACGATAAAATTTATTTTTATTGGTTGATCGGACAAGAGCTCTAATTGGCTAAAATTAAAGATTATCTCAATTTTTTTTAGCCTATCGCTATTGATATAAGTGTTATAAAAATTTTAACCTACAAAAGTTTAAAATTCTATGACCGATTAATTGGGTATTGATCGGTTAATTGGTCAGGTTGAACGGTTCCAATCTCTAGTGTTATTAAAATTAATATAATTAGATTTTTATAAAGTTACACAATTTGATATCATAAATCTTGTAAGGAAAAAAAAAAACAAAAAAAAAAAATGGGTAAAAAGCCGTTCATCGATCGTAAAAAGGCCAAACACTATCAACTAGTTCACCGATCCCAAAGAGACCCATTGATTAATGATTCGGATGCCCCATCAAAAGTGCTAGTAGAAGTAGTCCCACCGAATTTACGCGTAAGATCGAATTCCTGATTAGTATGCGAAATTCAAGTAATAAACTTACTGTGAAACCTGCCGTTAAACTACTATTCGTCTAAGAAGGAAAAGACCAATAGAATATGAGTATGAACTTTACGCTCAACCACAAACTCGTCTCTTCATTCGTCTCTTCATTCTTAGATATGTAGAACGGCAATATATCACGTAATAATAAATTTATCAAGCGTATAATTTTAATGTATCTGCTGCGTGTATTATATAGGGAAAAGTATATCAAGTTAATGATGACATAACCAAAGACGACCAAAATCGAAAGCAGGCTGACATCGAAAGGTTAGTTTTAAATAACCTTTCATTGATTTAATGTATCAATTAGAAAGTATACATAATAAATTAATATATATAACTGTATTTCGAAAGTCGTATAGGTCAAGCAGCCTTATACGGTGTATATTTCGATGACACGAACTATGATTATCTTCAACATTTAAAATCGATTGGAGAAGAGGAAGGTGCTATATTTATTGAAGCTCAATCTAAGGATAAAGAAAAAAAAAAAAAAGATCATCAGCTTGAGTTTGTCGAAGATCAAAAAGTATCGAATCATCAGGTTGTCTTTATTAGTCATTACGAGTTGTGAATGCGTTTTACTGGAAATGATGAAAATTTTGAGTAATGACGATAAGCTTTTCACGTGATTGTCTCTTAAAACCAATTGTTCCTACTGAAATGGTTTCAAACCAAGTGCGATATTATGAAAATTACGTAAATATTTTGCTTATTATCCTTCTGATTTATCTGAAAAAGGAATCAGGAACCTCAAGA